ATTTTAAACTCCGGTGTTTTATATACCAAAATAGATAACATTAATATGCTTCTATATAAATTTGCTTAGTCTAAACATGTATATTAGATTCGAATATATGCTCTCATGTGTTATTTTGTTTTTTAAGTTAAAGTTTAATTGGTATAAATGATATCAAAATATTTGTAAATAAAACAAGACTTGTTTTAAGTTTTGTTTTCATTTAATGCATGTTGACTAGTCAGAATTAATATTTTTCACATGATTTCGGTTACTTAAAATGAATCAAGTAGGTGGTATTTTCTTTTCTTTTATAATATATAAATGTTCCAGTAGCCGTTTCTTTTAATCGTAGCTTCGTTTCGGCGTTTTTTTTTTCATTCTCGCGACTAATCATGCGATATCTTTTCTCATGGCAAGGACCACCAAAATGATCAAGAAGTTGAACAGCAATGGTTACGCTTTCACTCCAAAAAGGAGTTCTTTTGAAGTGACAACAAAAAAATCAATTGAAGAAATGGATTGCTACAATTGTAGTTAATTTGGTCATTTAACTCATTTATGTTGTAAGAAGAGGGATGATAAGTAAGAATTAAGAAGAAGAAGAACAAGAAGTTCCACAAAAATAAGAAGTATTACAAGATATACAACAATGTCAAGAAGAAGAATGGTAGCAAAGCTTATATTGGTGAATTGGTCACCGGTTTCTTCCTCCTGTGATATTGATGACAAAGGTGTTGCAAAGCTTTCTATCAAGAGTTCACTTCCTCCTCCACCTTGTCCACCATCATCGCACATATATGCCTCACGACCAAAGGAGGTCACAAGATGAGCAATTGTGAAGATAGTGAATTCAAAGCTCTAACATATGATGAACTTGCTAGTTCGCTCCAACAATTCACTAAAGTCATCAAGAGAGAAAATGAAAAAGTTGGCAAACTAGAATGAAGAAGGCTAGTATTGAGCTAGAAGAGAAACACGAGAAGCTAGCGGAATCACATGATGAGCTCAACATCAGATACAATTTGCTTAAGGAGTCTTACAGTGACCTTCATACCAACCACAAGAATCTTGAGCTAACCTTTGATTCTTTGTCCAATTCACATCTTGTGAAGATTTGCTAGATATCCCTTACTTTTTATCTCATGAGAACATATCAAAAGATAAGGATGTGATTGTTGAAACTTGTAGCGATGAGGTAGCCATTGAAAATGATATGCTAAAAAGAAAGTTTGCTTGCCTCAAATGGGATAATGAGAAACTCAAGCTTGAAGTGGATAGTCTTGCTACCGGTTGCAAGAACCTAGCTAGAGGTTATGAAATTCAAAGTAAAATCTTGTCAAAACCACCATGAAGTTACGGCTAAGTGATATTAGCTTTCTGCGGAATATGGTTAAAGTGCAAGCACCTCCAAATAAGTAACAAGGGCCAAAGTGAAGATACACCGAGTGTCACAAGCAAGGCCATTTTGCTTTGCGTGTATGGCTACACTGTTTTCATACAAAGTTTCATAATATAGTACTCTGTGATATCATTTCGAACAGTACTAATAAAATGTCCTACTGAAAACCATAATGACATTCTAATGGGTTTAAAGAAATACTTCGTATGGGCAAGTACAATACTGGTTGTAGGATCAAACAGACTTCTAAATGAGCTTGATTTGGCTATTGTTAAATTTGGAGGGGGCACAGCTCTATAAGGAAAGCCTTTTCACCTTTGCGTCCACTGATTCTTGCTCATTTTGCAGTACCTTTACTGACCATCAGATGACACATGTCAGCGAACTAACATTCTTATTTTCTTTCATGGAATGAAAGAAATGTTAATATTCATTTTGTTTTCCATCAGTAGCAAGTGGTTCATGGTTATTATACCGGAGCCAGCGAGGAACTTGTTCATACGGTTTGCATTGATAGTATGTGACACAGCCAATTTGTTACCCAGTACACATTTCTGAGCAAGGCTGCTTCTGTGCATTATTACAAACTCTGCTCACATCTCCGAACACTCTGATTACAATGAACGCAGTTGGTTCCTAGACTCCTAGCCTACTGCCTCAGCAGCAAATGAAGCTCATGTATGTCAGAAAAATTAGCGAAAGGAATACTCCAAGTAGACTCATGAAGCAGCCAGCAAAAGGACGTGACATCAGCGATCTCCTGCATGTAGACCAGCGACGTTCTTGCTTGATGCTAGCTGAAGTTGCTTGATTTGTTGGCCCAATCTTAGCTGTAAGCTGACTTGGCTTATGCTAGCATCAGCCCTCAGTATCTCCTCTTCGGCTTGCTTTGCGACTTCCATTGCATCCCTTCAAGTTGAGTAAAGGGGAGACAGAGACCCGTTAGAATCCTAAATGTTTCAACTTGTGTTTGGATAGGTAGGGTCAATTACCGAATCAAAATTTCTGGAGACATTGAAACTTGGACCTGGAGCAACACTCTTCCTTGCACGTAATGCAGCATTAGATGTTCAAGCGCCATTTTCTGCATCAAATAATGGTTGAATTGTACACACAATTTGCCATCCTTGGGGACAAAACAACTCCTAAGGGCCTGCTTGGATAAATGGATTTCGATCTGAATTACTAGGATTAAGCACAAAATAGTAGGCCCTGATAATTTAAAGAGGAATTGCCCTCACCAAGAGTCCATGTAAAGTCATTTCGTAGCTAGATCCTATAGGTTAGACATTTTCCAGAATATCATACATGTTAAAGCATTATAAGATCATTGCACCAAATTTTCGCAGCTTTTGCATCCCTATGATCTTCAACAACATTTAATCCTTAATACTGCAGTTGGTGATAGTCAAAACACCCAGAATTGCTTTTCGTGGTTGTAGCTATGCTGTGTCAGTGATATGGCATTGGTGACCTCAGCTGCAGGAGATTTCAACTTCCTTCTTTGATCGTTCTTTTGGGAACGAACAGGTTTGTCTTCTGTGCTTATTTACTTGGTCTGATTATTTTTCCAGTGTGCTCTGGTGTTGATTTGTGTTTTTTGTGGATGCCTGTGAAAGTTCTGTAAATGAGACTAACTTTACCTCAGAATGAAATAGGTAGTTCTTCTGTTTGGATTCTTGTGGTGTGACATTATGTTCCTAATTTGGGTTGTATCTGATGCTCCTCTGTTTCTGATTTTGAAATATAGTTTGTAATAGTAAGCAATATTACCAGGTTTCACCTTTACAAGGAGAACAAGGACACACAAGAGCCACTAGGAGTTATAGGAAAGATGGCGGGGGTTCAGGTAGTTTCCATGTTTTACTTCATCAAAGTACTTCACAAGTTTTCTGTTCAGTTGCTCAATTTTCTCATCGCTTCCATTGATTGGTTGGTGGCCTTAATTTCCACAGCCAAGATCGTTTGGATATGCAGGGACAAAGGATAAACGTGCTGTTACAACCCAACAGGTATGCCCTGAGTTTTTCCCATTTGTTGGTTTACTGTTGGACAATCTGGGTCAATATGGTTTGGTCGGGAAACAAAGTATTTTAATAAGCTTGATGAAAGCAACCCTAAATCCAGCTTGATTAAATCACTGACTACTTTTTCAAAAAAAAAAAAAAAAAATCACTGCCTACTTAGCTGCAAATGGCTCTCCAGTTATGTGAAGGAGGGCCTTACTCTTGGTCAACTCAGAGGGAACCATTTTGCAATTACTTTGAGGTGCGTACACTCCTTGCTATGTATGACACTATTGGGAGCATAACATGCTGGTCGTATGCCATGAATGGTCTTTGTGAAACTGCTGGTGTCTCGACTTAGGTAAGCTCACTCAATTCTCTCACCCATACCTAGGTTAAGGTGTGTTCTATTTTGACCCCAACTGTCCATGATTCAAGTGATACCTGTTGGTACTTTTGACACACAGTTTATTATATTTGTAGTTATAGCCTATATATAAGTGTATGCTTTGAGTGAAAAAAATTCTTAATTAGTTTTTGAGTCAATGAAATTGAACTGCTCAATTTGGTTGGAGAAAAAAAGATAATAGAGCAATAAAAATGGAAAAGTTATTAGATATATAACAAGAGCTCTGGGTAAGAATAGCCTAGAGGAAATAGATATATTGCATCATGTGTTGCCATCATGGCTTGAAATTGTAGGTGTAGCACAGTAGCTTTGAATGAGCCAATCTCTCTTTCTAACTGACATGCTGCCATCCATACCATTTGTTGTCATCATGGATTGATGTGCTTTTTTTTTATCCTAAATTATGGAGTGATTTCTAATTTCTTGTTTACTGTGCTTGCGTATGGCTGGACTATTTTTCCATTTTCTAGGGTCTGCACTAATGTATGCAGCTTTAGTTTCTCTGTCTTTTCAGTCAAACAAGCACGGAAGTTGCTAGATGAGAGGAAAAGGAAGATCAAAGATCAAAGTGCAACAAGAAGATCAAAGTGCTCATGGTGGTTGTTTTGTTCCATGACTTCCTAGATATAAAACATTATTCAAAAGAACTTTATCGTTGTGCAAACAAGACATGAGTTATGGGTTGTACTTGTACATGACAAACATCTTAGTTGTGTAGCTACTTAAGTGATCTAGCTTGGTTGTGAGTATTTTGTATAAAACATTGTACAAGTACAAATGTTGATCAGGTTGAGAGGAAATTGTGAGTATGGTTTAGCCAGTTTCAAATGAGCATCGACCCTGAGTGGTCGAGATGGAGCCAACTGCAAGTTGTGGTTCACCTCAGGACATGCAAAATGGAGGCTCCATGAGGTGATGACGGCTAGAGGGCCGGGGTTGTTTACACCAGAATTTGGAATGGTACGTGGGAAGTCTAAGATATGGTGGTTGCCATCATTTTAGTCTTTCAAGAAACTACAGATCAAACAAGTCAAAAAAAAAATATAGAGGTTAGTATATTTCCAATTATATATGTGGTTGTATAGTAATTAGTGGAGTTGCAATGTAATTATTTATAAAGGAAACCATCAGAAAACTTTTGGTGGTTTTAAATTGCACCCCGAATGTTGCCGTGGCGTTAGCACGGGCACGCTACTAGTAATCCTTAATACTGCAGTTGGTGATAGTCAAAACAATTTAGAAGTCAATGGTTTACCTTCGAAAAATGAGACGAAATAATATTGGACACAATGGCTTCTGCACTCTGTTGCCGTAAGATAGCTTCTGAATTCATTCCATCAGAGTTCTTCAGATTCCTTTTCAGGTCCATGCTCAGGGCTACTGAGTATGAGGGATCTGCAATTCATGCAATCATGCACTTTAGAAGCACTGCAGCTGCAGGTTTAACACAGCTGTATATAACTGTAAGGGATATTACTGCTTGATTTCGAGAGCAGTAGCACTGAATATAAGGAGCAAATTAAATGACACAAAGAACAGTCATACATACAGTGTAGCTTAACCCAGAAATTGTTTATTTCGGATGCAATGAAATGCATTTCAAAAAAGAATTGAAAACTTCCAGTCAAATACATTACGTTAAAACATAATTTTTGAAATAGTCAATTTTTTGGAAGGTGCGCCTATGATGCATGCTAGGAAAATATTAAATCCTTAAATGCAATATTTCTGTGCATGGTTACAGATGGTAGGCACAGTGTTGAGAGCAACTTAGTTAGAGCAGGCTACCTATGTGTATGAAAACTTCAGCAACTTGATTGTGCTCCTTTTGAATTTGATGACGAACAGTTTCACTGATATCATGTGCTGCGCTAACACTCAGAAAAGGATACACCTACACGATAAAGAAAATATAGGAATAAACTTAGACAACAATTCCAACATTTTTCTGCTTCTAGTATTGCGACCTAGCTGGCCCGTTGCTTACTTCCACAGTTCTACAGCAAAAAAAAAAGAAAAAGAAAAAGAAAGCACATTGTTGCATACCTCTATATGTACATCAAGATATAATGATGTCCCAGCTTTTCTTCCCCTCAATCGATGGCACCCCTAGCATTATGTCCAAAATTTTGATAATCACAGCACTGCACATTTAAAAGATATAGAACTGGCTAAGAAGAAACTGAATTTTAGGGAGTCATTGAAATTCTACCTTCACACCGTGAACCCTCAAAATAGTTTCCTTGATTGGTTCTAGAAGTGAAGGATCCACAGCAGCGTCAACTAATTCCATTACACTGCAAGTGAAACAAGCAGAATCATCACCACAAGTAACATCATGCAAACTACAAAGGTGAATCATCATGTGTATTAAATTGTATAAAAGGATAATTTGTTTAAATTTGAAAGGTTTATGGTTATTGGGTTCAAAAGTGATATCAGCTGAACGAGACTGAAAAACAATGATCCTAGCTGAGCAGGCACACAGAAAATGAGCATATGTCATCTTTTATTTCATGAATATTCAGCCGTAGGGCTACAGAAAGCTACACATTGTCAATAATATTTCTGGAAGTACAGAAGACAAATCACTTAATACAAGCAAACAGATGTAATCAGATTGCAGTGAGATATCTGAAAAGTTTTCTCACTAGGAAAGCAAGCAGATTTTCACAAAACAGAAAAGATTCCTAAAGAAGAGGATAGAAACATATTTGATTAGAGACTACAGTATCATTAAATTGTGATGGAACTGAAGCAGCTTTAAACCATAGCAATAGTTACCTCTCATATCCAGTCTGAATACCAGCTTTCAGAATCATGCCAGAGACAACAAGTCCAGCTAGTGGATCAAGAAGAGGCAACCCAAGAATGGAACCACCTGTAGAAGTTCCACAGAAAATGATAAAGATAATAAAGGGACAGGTTTCTCCTTTAGCATAACCTTTCTCACCAGTAGATAATGTAATAAGCTCCTAACATTTTCAGGTCAAATCTACAAACCAAAACTTTTTCGTAACAAGTAAAGAAAGAATGCACTATCAGAAGATGCACCTAGAAATCTAATAAAATATAGGAACAACCTGTTTCAACGATTGCGCTTGGCACAGAAACATTATTTCTTCCTTGATTCATGACAAGAGGATGCCTACCACTCATATTCTAAAGCAGTTCCCTTCTTGTGACATGGCAAGTACCAGCATTTGTAAAGCTCTTACCTACCCCTACTAGGGCAACGACAGATGAAATAGCATCGGCACGATGGTGCCATGCATTAGCTTTCATCAGCCCACTGCCTTCCTTTTCCCCAGCTCTTTTTGTGATCCAGTAGAGCCTGTAATTCCACAACAGTAAAATACATATTACCAGCTCAAGATCTTATTACTAGATTAATCACGTGAGAATTAGCCATACACATGATCTATAAACTTAATGTATAGAGCTAAAAAGATTAAAATAAAATGCGGGTGACAGTTAAATCACTGTTCCTTAAAGCTGCTACGTATTCATACAGAAAAGAAAGTTTTAAGCTACATATTCTTTGAATGAAGTTAACAACAGTTCTTGCAACAAACTCCAGGACATATGCTACATAATGTTAGCAATTCGATAAAAGCAGAACCATATGACAAACATTAATTCAATTGGTGTGTAAGAAAAGAAGTTAGTAACGACACTTCTGACCTATGTATCACCAATACACCAGGAAGGCTGCCATACCTGTATCTGATACGGCACGATACGGCCCGATATGTGTATCGGTAGGTATTGGGAAAATGGGATAAAAAATTGAATGGTTCAGCTCACGAACACCAGTCAATATGGCGCGATACGCCCTGCCTTGCCGGGAGCACATGCCGCCAGGCAGGCTGGAATTGAAACTCTTCCCCATCGGGACTTTTTTGGACTACAGAGCCTGCACGGCACTACTGCTGGAGGTGCAGAGGTCAAAATACTCTAGCTATGGTGACATGTCAGTTCCTTGCCTACTTGTTCTTTAGATCTTCTTCCTTCATATGTCAATGCTGTTATTTAATTATATTTTTTTATATATTCGATGTATTTGTGTATGTGTATCCTTGATTTTGGAAAAATGCTCGCCATACCCATTCCCCCTATTGCCGTATACCATAGCGGTGATTAGGGATGAAAACGGATCGGATACGAACGGATATTACTAATATTACATTTGTTTTCATATTTCTGTCCGGATTCGGATTCGAATACGGATAGTGTCAACCATATCGGATAGGATACGATTGGATATCGACATCATAAATATGCGATTTGAGTATTCGGATACGGATACGGTATCGGATGTTGAATATCCGGACTCGGATACGAATAGATCTAAACCCCTTTAAACGGATTCGGTCTCGAATACGGTCGGAAAATATCCGTACCGTTTTCATCCCTAGCGGTGATACATAGGTTCTGAGTTCTGACTGCAAAATGAAATATGATAGAAGAAAAGAGCTCTATAACATAACAATATCATGGTACGCAAAGCTCCCACTTACCCTTCTTTGATAGATATTGCTAAAGTTGTCATGCTCAATGCAAGAACTGGATGTTCCAAATCTATTCCATGATGATGCCCACTGCTACCATTGTCGTGGTGGGCATGCAATGTGTTGCCAATTATATCAGGAGCAGAAGACATAACTCCCTGAAGAAACATAAAATATAAATTCCATACAGAATCATGTATTACCAAATACCAATATAATTCATCAATGTCAGAACAAGAAAAAATACCAACAAACAATAAATATTTTTTTTCTCGAAAACGCAGGAGAGCTACGCTTCATTATATTAAAGAAGAAAGAAAGGGGCTAGAGCCCTACAACACACGCCACACACAACCCCACACGATTCAGAAATTACATTCGCGCCCGAAAATAGAAATGGAAGTGACCAAAAAGACTAGCACTAAGCTAACCACCAAGAGGGGCTGTCAAAGAGGACAGACCCTTAGCACCTGCTAGACTCCACAGCCAGCGCTCTTCTCCAGCAAGGGTAAGTGCACCACCAAGGCTGGGGACAATACCATAAAAAACGCAACGGTTCCGATGGTTCCAAAAAGTCCATGCCCCAAGCACAATGAGAGAGTTGAGACCTTTTTGCATCAATCCGCTCGTTGCTCCAATAGCTTGTTCCCACCAGCTGTCAAAAGAAGTGTCTGAAGGTTGTGGTGACAAGGAATGGAGACCAACCTGCCTTAAAAAGTGATACCAGAATTGCCTAGCAAAGACACAGGAGACTAGAAGGTGGTTGATAGTCTCATCTTCCTGGTCACAGAGAAGGCACTGCTCAGGATGAGGCAGCCCACGTCACGCGAGGCGATCCGCCGTCCAGCACCGATTGTGGGCCACCAACCAAAGGAAAAAGCGGCATTTGGGCGGTGCCCAGGTTCTCCAAATCCTCTCATACGGTCCAAACTGAGTAAATCCCATGAATAAACCCTCATAAGCAGACTTGGCTGAGTATTGCCCACTATTTGATAGCCGCCAAATGTGGACATCTTCGACATCAGGCTCTAGTTCAAAGTTGTACAGCATTTCCTAGAGATGGTGGAAGTCCACAATAACACCAACCGTGAGGGCTCCCTTGATATCCAAAACCCAGCTGCGATCAGTAAGGGCTTCCTGGACAGTACGTCGTTTCTATTAGGAAGTATATATGTGTATTAGGAAGCTTGTACATTCCTTCCATGTACACTGATTGTATTCCTTATATATCAAGCCTGATTGGCTATATAATAGAGGTCACCCCCCCTCATTAGGGGTGAAGTGTTTTCCCATATCATTTCTACATGGTATCAGCTAATTAGATCTTGAGCCTTCTCCTTTCTCCCTGCGCCCTCTTCCCCTTCCTCTCTGCGCCTTCCCCTCTTGGTCTGCTGCCATGGCCACCGTCCCCTTTGGATCTGGCGCCCCCACAGCCCCTGCTGCTGGCCATGTGCCGCTCTCTGGCCCGCCTCCTGCTGCCAATGGTGGCACCTTTGTGCCGCCCACTGCCACCAGCGGTTTCTCTAGTGTTCTTGCTGGCGCCACGCCCGCCAGCGACGGCTTCATCTCCCCTACCGTCCAACCCTATGCCACCGTCAACGTCAAGTCCCATATTCCCGTGACGCTGACGATGAAGTCCACTGCCTACTCCAGATGGGCGTCCTACTTCAAGTCTTTGTGCGGCAAGTTCGGCCTCCGGTCGCACATCGATGGCACGATGGCTACTCGCCCCCAAGATCCTGTTTGGGACCAAGCGGACTGCTGCGCCTGCTCCTGGTTCTTCGGCTCCGTCGACGACTCCGTCCTCGACCTCGCCATGCCCGACGACAACCAGACCGCCCGGGACCTCTGGCTCGCCATTGAGGGCCTCTTCCGCGCCAACAGGCAGTCCCGGGAGATCTTCCTCAGCCATGATTTCCACTCCATGACGCAGGGCGACTCCACCATCGCCGAGTACTGCGGCCGCATGAAGACCCTTGCCGACGGCCTTCGCGACGTTGGTCATCCCGTTCAGGACTCGCAGCTTGTCCTGAACCTCCTCCGCGGCCTCAACCCCCGCTACACCACCACAACCGACGACATCTCCAACTCCACCACCGGCTTCCCGTCCTTCAACCAGGCGCGGGACATGCTCGCTCTGAAGGAACTTCGCCTCGCCAACGAGAAGGTCTCCAACTCCACCGCCCTGCTTGCCGGGAACACTTCGTCCTCCTCCTCCAGCTGTCCAGGCGGGTGTCGCCCACCTGCTGGACTTGTTCAGCCCGACGGCAGCAGCACCAATGGCGGCAGCCGCAGCGGCAGCGGTGGCCGCACCGGCGGCAGCATCCCCACCTCCAGTTTTCAGCTTAACAACATCCTTGTTGTCCCTTCATTAATCCGTAATCTGATTTCCGTTCGTCAGTTTACTAAGGATAATAACTGCACCATAGAGTTTGACGCTTTTGGTTTCTCTGTCAAGGATTTTCCGACCAGACGCGAGATTCTTCGCTGCAATAGCACCGGCGATCTTTACACCATTCCTCCAGCCGCCAGCTCTGCAGCACCACACGCCGGTCTCGCCATCTCCTCCAGTTTGTGGCATCTCCGACTCGGTCATCCCGGCCCTGCCGCCATCACTACACTTAGACAGAAAGCATCCATTACTTGTAATAAAGACAGTCACACTCTATGTCATTCATGTCAATTAGGGAAACATGTGCGGTTACCTTTCTCTAATTCCAGCTCTCGCAGTTCCACTCCTTTTGAGTTAGTCCATTGTGATGTCTGGACTTCTCCGGTACCTAGTATTTCTGGTTATCGCTACTACCTTGTCATTTTGGATGACTTCTCACATTTCTGTTGGACAATACCTCTTGTTCACAAGTCTGAAGTCACCAAACACATCACAGACTTCTGTGCATATGCCAATACACAGTTCAGTCTTCCCGTTCGCAGCATACAGGCTGACAACGGAACCGAGTTTGTCAATAAGACTCTCACATCTTTTTTGACTTCTCGGGGCATTCACCTGCGCCTCTCCTGTCCCTACACTTCTCCTCAGAATGGGAAAACTGAGCGTGTCCTCCGCACACTTAACAATGTCACTCGCACCCTACTGATTCATGCCTCCATGGGCGCCCCATACTGGGCAGAGGCACTCGCCACCTCCACCTATCTTCTAAACAGGCGCCCTTGTTCTGTTGTTCAGAATAACATTCCCTACCAACTCCTCTATTCCCAGCCCCCCGAATACTCTCACTTACGTGTATTCGGTTGTCTGTGCTATCCTAATCTCTCAGCCACGGCACGCCACAAGCTTGCTCCTCGATCTGCAGCATGTCTTCCTCGGTTACCCCTCGTCCCACAAAGGGTACCGCTGCCTTGACCTCTCCACCCGTCGAGTCATCATCTCTCGCCATGTTGTCTTTGACGAGTCTGTTTTTCCTTTCTCCTCCCATCCTACTCACCCGTCACAGCTCGACTTCCTCTTGTCGAACCTCTCTGCTGCTCCTACTCTTGCCTCGGTCGCTCCGTCCTCGGACGTTGCGCAGCCACGGCCATCACCCGTTGTTTTGCAGGAACTTCCCGACGATGACCCCGCAATTCTGGTACGCGACCCAATCATGTACCGCGCTCCGTCTGCGGGCGGGACGCCGCCCTCTTCCTCCACTGCAGGACCAGCCCGCTTGGACGTCGTCCCTGCTCCTGCAGTTGGGGGTTCCAGCGGCCGCCCGGCGCCTACCAGACCGCTGGTGCCGCCCCTACCTCATCACTACACCAGGCGGCCACCGGCGGCTGCAGCTCGCTTGGCGCCTCTGCTGCGCCCGGCGCGCCACACCTCTGTCGCCGCCACTGCGCGCGCGCACCTCCGGCGCCCGCGATCCACGGCATCGTCCCGGCGCCACACCTCTGCCGCGCCACCGCGCGCCCTGGCTTTCTCGTGCATCGTCGCCACCTCTGCTCCTCCATGGCTCATCACTCGGATCGTGGATCGGGCCATTCATGGTGTCCTACCGAGGGCTTGGCAACCGCCATCATCACCCTCTCCGCTCCGGCAAACTACCCGCGATGCTATGGTCGACACCAAGCGGGCGTCTTTGCAATGGTCGACGAAGTTCGAGCTCTCATGGACAACGACACTTGGCGCCTCGTCCATGGCCGCCCGGTGCCAATGTCGTGTCGGGCAAATGGATCTTCCGGCACAAGTTCCATGCTGATGGGTCACTCGCCCGGCACAAGGCGCGCTGGGTGGTGCGAGGCTTCTCCCAGCACCACGGCATCGACTACGACGAGACCTTCAATCCGGTTGTCAAACCAGCGACGATACGGACCGTCCTCAGCATCGCCGCTTCTCACGCTTGGCCGATCCACCAGCTGGATGTGAAGAACGCGTTTCTCCACGGCCATCTCGGCCGAGATCGCATATCGCCGGCTGACCTCCTCGGCCGTCGACCCGCCGCTCCAGATCACGTCTGTCTCCTACAGAAGACCTTGTATGGACTGAAGCAGGCACCGCGGGCGTGGTACCAGCGGTTCGCTTCCTACATTCGACAGCTCGGCTTCGTCGTCTCCGTCTCCGACACGTCCCTCTTTGTCTACAAAGAGGGGCCGAGCATCGCCTATCTGCTACTATATGTCGATGACATCGTCCTCACCGCGTCGTCCCCGACTCTTCTCCAGCACATCATGGGGCGCCTTCACTCTGAGTTCGCCATGACAGATCTTGGAGCCCTGCATCACTTCCTCGGCATCTCGGTGACGCGTTCTTCCCAGGGCCTGTTCCTGTCTCAGCGACAGTATGCCCTGGATCTTCTTCAGCGTGCTGGCATGGCTGAGTGTCACTCTACAGCGACTCCCGTTGACACTGATGCCAAGCTCCAGGACGGCTCTGAGTACCGAAGCCTTGCTGGGGCCCTTCAGTACCTCACCCTGACCAGACCAGATTTGGCATATGCGGTTCAGCAGGTGTGCCTCTTCATGCATGATCCACGAGAGCCCCATATGGCCCTAATCAAGCGCATCCTGTGCTATGTGAAGGGCACACTCTCCTCCAGACTTCACATCGGCACCGGCTCTGTTCAGTCTCTGACTGCCTACTCCGACGCCGACTGGGCTGGCTGCCCGGACTCTCGACGCTCCACCTCCGGCTTCTGCGTCTACCTCGGTGACAATCTAGTGTCTTGGTCCTCCAAGCGCCAGACCACGGTGTCTCGATCCAGTGCTGAGGCGGAGTATCGTGCTGTGGCCGAATGTTGCTGGCTGCGCCAACTTCTCCAGGAGCTTCATGTCCCGCTTGCTTCGGCCACTGTTGTCTACTGTGATAATGTGAGTGCAGTATACATGACAGCCAATCCGGTGCATCATCGGCGCACGAAGCACATCAAGATTGACATCCGCTTCGTCCGTGAGAAGGTGGCCTTGGGTGAGGTCCGGGTCCTCCATGTGTCGTCCTCTCACCAGTTCGCGAACATCATGACGAAGGGCCTTCCAACTCCACTGTTCACTGAGTTTCGGTCCAGTCTTTGCGTCCGTGATCCTCCCGCTAAGACTGCGGGCGGGTATTAGGAAGTATATATGTGTATTAGGAAGCTTGTTCATTCCTTCCATGTACACTGATTGTATTCCTTATATATCAAGCCTGATTGGCTATATAATAGAGGTCACCCCCCCTCATTAGGGGTGAGGTGTTTTCCCATATCATTTCTACAGTTTCAGCCTTCTCTTTGGGATGGCTTCTAGTAGTCGAGGTGCAAGATCAGCGATACACTGTCCATGGATCCAACGATCAGTCCAGAACAACGTGCGATTCCCATTGCCTACTTCCGATACAACAGCCACCGAGAAGAAGGCATTAACTTGGTCCGGGATCTGAATAGGAAGGGCTGCCCAAGGGCGGTGAGGTTCATTTTTTTTCAGCCATACCCACCTCATCCTTAGTGCCCAGCCGAGATGTTTGAGATCAGAAATTCCAAGTCCACCAAGCTCAGGGGGGCGGGTGACCTTTCCCCAAGCCACAAGACAATGTCCCCCACGGGCATCTTTGAGGCCCCTCCAAAGAAAACTTCTCCGAAGCTTGTCCGCGGCTTTAATAGCCCATGGTGGGAAATCAATCGCCATTGCCAGATAAATAAGCATGGCAGTGAGAACAAACTGCACCTGAATTCTTCGTCCTGCCCGTGTCATGAGATCTGATTTCCATCCCGGTAACTGATCAGCAATTCTATCTATAATAGGTTGGACTTGTTCTTTAGTTAACTTCTTGAGGGAGAGAGGCAGCCCCAAATACTTGCAAGGAAAATTCATGACAGCACAAGGGAGAAGTTCCTGTACCAATGCCAATTCTGTATCACCACACCTGATTGGTAACACATTGCTTTTCTGCAAATTGGTTTTGAGGCCTGAAGCTTCACCAAAAAGTTGGAGGATGCTCATTATGACATTTATATCCATTGCCTCCGGGCAGAGAAAAAGAACCACGTCGTCCGCATAGAGGGAAACGCGATGTTGGAGAGCTCGAGATGAAAGTGGCTGCAACATACCATCAGCGGCTGCCTTGGCTATCATATGCCCCAACACATCCATAACTAGAATAAAAAGCATGGGCGATAACAGGTCACCTTGTCTTAATCGTCACCGGTGAGTAATACGCTCCCCAGGTATCCCATTCAACAGCACTTGAGTAGAAGAGGAGGAGAGTAACCCACTGATTATGTCCCTCCAAATTTGGCCAAAGCCTAAGTGCTGCAAGACCTCTAGCAAAAAGGGCCAAGACACTGAATCAAAAGCCTTCGAGATATCTAATTTTAAAAGGATTCTGGGCTGCTTTTGTTGATTGAGAAATCTTGCTGTTTGCTGAACTAGCATGAAGTTGTCCTGAATGAAGCGTCCCTTTATAAACGCACTTTGATTAGGAGACACCATCTGCTGCAGCCGGCATGCAAGTCGATTCGCCAACAATTTAGTGATCAACTTAGCAAAACTATGAACCAGGCTGATAGGCCAAAAATCTCTTGGCTGCTCTGCTTCCTCTTTCTTAGGTAGAAGGGTGATGTAGGCTGCATTAAGCACTTCAAAACCTGCAAATCTCCTACTCCACACAGCAGAAACTGCGGCCATGATATCACTCTTTATGATTGGCCAGCAGACCTTGTAAAACCAACCAGTAAACCCATCTGGACCGGGCGCTTTATCCGGAGGCAGCTGCTTGATTGTGTTCCACACCTCTTCCTCTGTAAAAGGGAGCTCAAGGTCAGCCAGATCGTGGGGGAGGATTCCCAGCTCATCAAGGTTGATGGTGCGCTCTCTGTCCAGGGTTGTTCCAAGTAAATTCTCATAGAAATCATCAACCAATCTTGCTTTGTCTTCATGTTTGGTGTAGATTTGGTCCCCTGAAACAAGCTTGCCAATGAAATTCTTCCTCTTGCGGTGACGGGCATGGAGTTGGAAAAGTTTTGTGTTGGCGTCCCCATCACGTACCCAGTCAATTCTTGAGTGAAGACGGGTAATAGTCCGCTTGAGGGATGCAAGAGCAAGGCTGTGCTTCTTAAGACTGTTTTTCAGCCAGTTTTCCCTTGGTGAGAGGGTGCGACTGTCTTGTGCGATCTCCAATTGATGGAGGATTTCACGGGCAAGGGCTAGCTGAGAGTTAACATGACCAACAGTTTTATCACTCCAACTCTGTAAAGCTTTAGTAGCAGCTTTGAACTTGAAGTCCAAGGTGAGAAAAGGACAAGGACCAGCCTGCACTGAAGCCCAAGCATCTGCTATGGTGTCCTGAAACCCCTCAAGCTTAGGCCAAAAAGATTCGAAATGGAAGCGTCTACGGCCCGATTTATTATCCTGAAGTCCAAGCAAAAGAGGGCAATGGTCTGAGTCTTCCGAAGCTATGCTTTGCAGTAAACAATTTGGGAAAAGGTCCTCCCAGTCCACTGAACAAAACACCCTGTCCAACTTAACCAAAGTAGGATTCGTTTGCTGATTTGACCATGTATATTTCCGACCATGCAGGGGAATTTCCTTGATAGCTAGGTCATTAATTAGACGTCTGAAACGACCCATCATTGCCCGATTGTAGTTATCGTTATTTTTGTCTTCCTCTTTGTAAATCAGGTTGAAATCTCCTGCTAGAACCCATGGTCCAGGACAACCCCCTCGGATATCTCTTAGCTCCTGAAGAAACTGAATTTTTTCATCCATGCCCTGAGGACCATACACACAGGTTAACCACCAGGAAACTCCATTAGTCGGGCAGAACTGAATGGTCACGCTGTTGGCATTCACGTGGCAAGCTCCTGCATTACCAAGATGACAACGCCAAGCAACGAGAATTCCACCACTAGCACCTACAGAAGGGAGCTCAGCAAACTCTGAGAAATCTGTCCCCAGAGCAGATAGGAGCACTCGCCTGGAGGATGTAGAGATTTTCATTTCCAGGATGCACACAATATCTGACCGGGAGGCTTCCACAAGTACGAAGAGAATCTTGCCTTGCTGTAGAATTGAGGCCCCTTACATTCCAAATTAAAATTTTGGCTGGATCCATTACAAGATTGCAAAGAGCGACCAAAAACACAGACTGGAGCAGCTCATGCTACCACTACATCCTCTCCACCTTGGTCACCATCCTCACAAAACTCAGGGATGGACCAACTAAACAAGGCGACCAAACCAAGCAGTTGGATATCAGAAAGTGGGTTCTTAAACAGCTTACTGTATTCATCTTCAGCCTGCTGATTGACGCCATTCTACTCAATAATGATTTCCAGCGAGCGCATGACCTTCTTCGATCGTCTTGCCCAGTCCGCCGGCTGGAGCTCAGGCACAGCACCCGCAAGGCATCGACTGCGCCGTGGGGTCTCACCCGGTGGCAGAGTTTTTTTGTGACGTTTGCTGATGGCGGGGACAGGCAGCAGACCTGCTGTCCGACGGGAGAGCTTGCTGATGAAGGCGTCGTGGTTCGAAGGCGTCACAGCTGGGGACGGAGCCGGAGCTGCCACATCCCCCGCCGGGACGCACGGAGATTTAGGGATGGCCTCAGGTTCCAGCTCTGTTGTCAGCATTGTCGTGGTGGCCTCTGGATGAGCAGCCCTGCGTCGGCGAGAGCGGCGAAGAGAGTAGACTTGTAACGGCTTCGCAGAGCGTTTGCCCAACCCCGGCGACCTTGGGGGATTTCCTTCCGTGGCCAAAATTGAGGTGGGAAGCAGCGGCGAGCATGGTGAGGCTGGCAAGACTAGGGGATTCCCCTCCGTTGCCTCACCATGGCTTCCTTCAGTGGCCATGCTTGAGGTGGGATGTGGCACGCGCACACACATTATTATTGCAGCAGTAGAGCATGCAAAACTTGTCTTTTCAACAGAAAATAATGTACCAAGGAAAAACTTTTGAGTGAAATTCATTTTGGTGGTTGTTACTTTAATTCTTCAGTGACATGTACAGAGAGGTCTCAGATTGTGCAAGTAATATCATAACATCCTCTTTTATTTACAATGTACAAGCCTCCTTATGAACAAACAAAAAAAGACTTATCCATTTTCACAATTTTAATAAAATAACAAGCATTGCAAGGAAATTAAAAGGGCATAGCTTATGTCACATCACAAACAAAAATACAATTCAAGTTTTTAACAAATCTTGTCAATGAGAAGTAATAGACCTGAAGAACTTCAAAAGCATGCCATGCAATCCCACCTGAAGTAACCAACAGCATACTTGAAATCCCAAGAGCTCCTAAACTTTCAAACTTTCCATGCCCTTGAACAAAAGGAAAGTAAGAAATGCGACTTCCAATATCTTATGGATGTGTGCATAGAAGTCAAATAATTAAACTTAGAAAATGGATTGTCTAGTTCCAATTACAACAGAGGGACACTAATAGCTTGTCACAATGGTATGTCAAACATATCTTCTAGCTATCGCCTACCAGGGTTCACACTAAGTGCAAGTGTGATTTAGGACCTGTTTGGGTACACATGGCTAGTTACTAGTTGGGGCTAAAATTAGTCCAAATTAGCTATGGTTGGCTAGCTATTTGGTTAACAACTAATTGAAGACTTGGCTAAAAAAATTGCCCACCTATTAGCTCTCTTGTTTGGATACAATAAAGCTAATTTTTAGCTATCTAGCAATTAGCTCTTGTATCCAAACAGGCCCTTACACATGAATTTCCAGGATTTGATCTCATGATCTGTTGCTAAGCCTTAAGGATTGTTTTGCTAAACAGTTCCATTGCACCATTTGGAAAGGTAGTCAAAACATGTGAATTCCTATATCACTAGAACAGCATATACACATAATCATGTATAAATGCAGTCATGTTGAATCAAATGTAAAACCAGATATCTTGTAAAATCAAGGTGTGGGTCTGCAATCTTGCCAGCCAGACAAGAATGGATCACGAGACTACATCTATCAGTGAATCAATGCTTCTCACAACAACCCATCACATCTACCTTAATCAAAACTACCACCCTGATATAGCCAGCTAAGCCGCATATATATGAGGAACGGAGCACGCAGAGATTTTGAGACTAACCATAGGGATGTTCCTTGTCTCTGGGAGCCTTGGCCGCCCTGTACGACAGCAGAGCCACCCCGCTAAGCACCTGTGCAATCCCAAAACCCGCACAATTAGCAAACCTCCACGAAACATACAGCATCAAGCACACGGGGCACCTCATTTTCACACATACTATGTCCGAGAGGGAGTGGGCGGCGTCGGCAGCGATGGCGGTGCTGCCGGAGAGAGAGCCTGTGACGGCCTTCCCCACGGTGAGTACGACGTCAGCGGCGAGTCCCAGCCGGAAGATCCTCTCAGACGTCTCGCCCTCGTCCTCCCCGCCGTGGTGGTACGAGTGGCCCACGTGGCCGCGGGCGGGGACGAGCCAGTGGGGCCCGCAGCGTGGCTCCGCCGGCAAGGCGGGTGGGGCGAGCGCGCGGCGAGCGGAGGCTGCTGGGATCATGCCCCGGCGAGAGGCCGCGGCGCGGGCGGCGAGGCGGGCGAAGCGGAATCCCATCTTGTCAGGGAAAGGGAATGCCTGCTTCGTGCGCTGTCTTTCCGGAGAGACTTTTCCGTGTGCCATTATAAAAGATCGTAATCCTGTGTGCCCCTGAAAAAATTTAGCGGTCTTCAGCGCTACTACTTTAATTTTTTCGGGTCCTCCATGCCACTTCCGTTAGTTCAGGCTCTAACGCCGTTAAACTGCAGATGTGAAAAGACGAAAATGCCCTTAAGTTCAAATATGTTATTAATTTTTTTTGAGCGTTTTAACGACTTCAAATGAAAAAACTCAAAACTAGAAAGTTGTAGATCTCGTCGAGATCTATAATTTTCATATAAAAATTATTTTCATTTAATTCCGCAAAAAAAATATGATGATTTTTCTAAGATATATTAATCATATCAAATTATATTTTTTGCGGAATTAAATGAAAATAATTTTTATATAAAAATTATAGATCTCGATGAGATCTACAACTTTCTAGTTTTGAGTTTTTTCATTTGATGTCGTTAAGATGCTCAAAAAAATTAATAACATATTTGAACTTAAGGGCATTTTTGTCTTTTCACGCCTGCAGTTTGACGGCGTTAGAGCCTGAACTGATGGAAGTGGCATGGAGGACCCGAAAAAGTTGGAGTAGTGGCGCTGAGGACCGCTGAATTTTTCCAGGGACACACAGGGGATTACAATCTTTTATAATGGCACACAGGGAAAAGTCTCCTTTCCGGACGCTTCGGGTCGGAGCCTCCGGCGATCCGGCTGCGACCTGCGAGGCTGATTCCGCCATTTCTGTTAAAAAAAAAGGAAATTTCGCTTCTAATAACGAGTCAAACATCCCAATATATATATATAAAAAGAGTTCAAACAAGTAATACTAACATTTAAGATAATACCGAATAAGCATCATTATATTTATAGAGAAATACCGAATAAGCATCAATATTTATTACTGAAAATGAGATCTTGGTAAGCTCATAGTATCAAGTATTTAGAGAATTTAAAAGTGGTTGAAAGCGATAAGTAATTTGAATCAGAGGTTGGTATTTTTTATAGTAAACATATTTATAGACATAAATGTTAAAGTTGTTTTTACAGACTTGGTCAAACTTAAAAAGATTTGTTTTATTTCAAACCCAGTCATGCAGCAGTGTTGACAATGGCCCTTCTCTTATAATCCATCTTTTTCAGCTTGTTTTTTTTTTCAATCGGAACAATGTTTTTCTCTCCCAACAAATTATAATAAATGGAACCAATACGTAGAAGGCCCAAACTATGTGTCAACGTCTAAGGGACTAGTAGAGAAGGCCTTGATGACGGTTATGGTGCGCAGAACGGTGGGGACAGAAGGTGCCATGCAGCCCGCTTAGGAGTAGACGAAGTTGGTGGAGGAATGAGATGTGTTTGATAAAGAATAAGCAATGCAAGCAGACACTCGCGAGCGGTGCGTGCGGACACGCCTGCTCGAAGGCAGTGGTCCGAACACAAGGGACGGTGTCAGTATGTAGTAGCGCTCGATGTCAGCGACGGAGAACTGGTATAGCTTGGCAAAGAGTCAAAGACCAGGTGCATACAGGTGGCATGCAAGAGGCGTAGATTGATCGTCGATGCACTGAAGACAATGATGTAGATGTAGCTCCAGGTGAACGAGGGACTGCACCTGTATAGAAGATGAAGAGACTGCTCGCTATTGAAAAAGCTGAAAGACGAGCTTTTTATCTGTGTGTCTTCCCGAAAGATGCTCCATGCTTATAGATCACTAAAAAAATCGAACGTACCTATGTGCGATGATATTTTACTTTTTTGCCTCCCAAGCCATTCCGTTCGTCTTCTATTTGATTTCTGCCGTTTGTCAGCCCTGACATGTGGATCCGACCTATGATGATATCCAAAAATACCCTTCTTTCGTAACTCTATCATCTCCCTTCTTTCTCTCTCTGCCTCGTGGGGCCAAACTGTCAGTGACACGTCACCTTCTTCCTCCTCAAGAAGAGCGCGAGGGGACCGAGGGTGGTCAGGGGAGCTCGCCCACGCGCCGGTGGTGGCTGGCTAGCCAGAGAGTGCGCGGGGCTAGGGCGCGCGCCGGCAAGCAGGCCATGCGCCGGGGGAACCGCGCTGTGGAACAGGGCCACCCGTAGGCATCCCGGAGCTGGGGAGGGCGTCGTCGCGGGGTGGAGGACGGCCGGCGGCGGTGGCAGATCTCCAGATCCGGCCGGGCGGGTCGGAGGAGGGCCGGTGGCGGCTAGGATCGGGAGCTCGCCCCACCTAGCCGTGCTCGAGCAGAGCTCCGGCAGCCGCACGAGGAAGACGGTGGCAAGCTATAGCAGAGAGCCGCACGAGCCACGACCACTGCCACCCGCGCCCTGTATCCCGTGACGAACCACGCCGCGAGCAGCGGCACAGCCGCCCCGGCCGCGAACGACAGCGCGGAGACCACCGTCGCCTGGCCCGGGCCCGAGAGGAGGCCCACGGTTGCAGCCTGGTCCGATGGTGCTCCGTCGTCTTCGTCTGCGTCACCCGCCGCCGACTCTTCGTCCTCCTCCTCGGCCGTGTGCTTGTCGTTGGGGGCTGACTTGCACGTGGATCCGGCCGCGCCGCTGATTGAGCTAGTCATGGGCGCGGGTCAGGCCAGCGCCGCCGCGGATGGGGCCACGGCTGTTTCCGCGGTGGCGGCCCTACTCGATTCCTCCAGCGCTGGCGACGGAGATCACCGCGGGCGGGCGGGCGAGCGTGGTCGCGCTGGCGCAGGAGCCAGGAGGCCGACTGTCATTTCTGACGACAGCGTCACGGGACACGGTGGCGGCCGTGGCTGCGCGCGGCGGGGTGGCGGCGCCGTGTGCGGCGCATTCCGGCGCAGGGTGACGACGTCAGGGTGTGGAGTCCAGGGAGAGCTGCCTGGTGTCCTACGCGGACCATCCCGGGTTTTGTCGAGGTCGATGCGGCGGCGCCTCGCTTCCACGCCAGGGAACACACTCGACTAGCGCCCACACCACGCACCTCTCACCGCCGGCGAACTCCACCACGAAGTTCGTGCCCCGTTGAGCCAGCTGCCGCCGGCGGTGAGCACGGATGGTGGCTGGTCGGCGGCGGGGGTGGACGGTGGCTGGTTGACAGCGGGCGCGGACGGTGGCAGACTCGTCGAGCCCTTGAAGTAGGCGCCCGGCTCAGGAGCAGAACACCGAGGGTGAGACGAGTTCGACCGGGGTGCAGGAGACCGTGGCTGTGACGAGCTCCGCCAGGCACTGGAGACGGCGGTCGCGGTGAGCTCAGCTAGGGCGCATGAGGCAGCAGCCCGGGCGAGCAGGCGTGCTCTGCTGGGGCGCTCGACGAGGCAACCGCGGGTGCACAGGTCGCGGGCGCGGGCGCTATAGCCCCACGGCCGTGAGCCCGGCCGGCCGGCCGCCTCTCAACCACTGTCGCAGATGAACGAAGAAGCGCACGGTGAAGAAGCGAGGTCAGGGCATTTGGGACTTTTTGCAACGCATATTGACACCGTTAGATGAAAAAGTGGACGGAATGGCTTGATAGGCAAAAAAGTAAAGTATTATAGCGCATAGGTGCGTTCGAACTGTTTACTGACATGTAGGCCTGGAGCATCTTTCGTAATGACACGTCGGTAAAAGGCATAGACGCAGACATAACCAGATGATCCGCCGGCCTCCACTGACCACGCTAGATCGTACGACGAGTTAGGAATATGCTGAAATATTCCCTGCCGTATGACACATCACTAGGTCTACAGTCGGACCATCATGAAATTGTATCAAAAACATTACCGATGACTTAACCAGTGCAGGAGGTACTCCGAGCAAAGTTGGCATGTCTAGTCATATAAGTAGGAGCTTTGTTAAAAGTTTGGTATTTTAAACCTCACATTTGAACTATAATAATTCACGAAATTATTTAAAATTTATTGGAGATGGCATAACTAGTATGAGGCTGTGAGCTATTCTGTGCGAGTGGTACCTAAGATGAAAGTTTGATAACATGATATTATCGTCATAATTTGCTAAATACCATTATGAGTTGCCGTTGTTTGTCGTAGTCGTAGGACACCGTAGTGATTAGAACATCTATGAGACTATAGATTTTGGTGAAAAATTATCTTTCAACAGCTTATCTAAATGATCATCTAAATATAACTATCTTCTATTCCGGATTTTTCGCTAGCGAAAAATAGAAGACGAGAATAACTCTCTAGAGTGTGTATGAGATATAAAAAAAACTGTTGGAGAGTGCAAAAAAAATATAGAAAACGATTTTTATGCAAATGACTCAAATAGTGATTCAGAAAATAAAATTTAGAAAGACTCTTGGAGATGCTCGTATAATATTATCTTTTAGGATTTAAGGAGCAAGAATATAGGGAATTTTATGCTCTCGTCTTTCTCCTCTTGCTCCCTCGGGATGCTCTCTCTTTCTTTCTTGCGCCTGTTGCACTCTCTTATTCATTTGAATTTACCAGTTCGTCTTATCAGCCATGGTACAGCAGCAATCAGCCGTAGAAATCATCGGCCAAACAGCTTAAGCAGAAACCATACACCGCATACACGTCCACGAAAGGACTGCTGATGCTCGCATCGGCTGCCGTCGTGGCTCAACCACTTTGACCACCGATGATACCAACGTTGACCGGACGCTCCTATACACCACTGCTCTCAAGCTCTAATGGGAGCTGGTCCTCCTAGCCAAAGGAGCAGCTGCCCGTCGATGACGAGTGCCCGATGGTAGGGCTTGTCGGTGAGCAGCGGGGTGTCATGCAGCTCCTTCCTAAGCCCCATCCCTATGATCAAGCTCGTCAAAACAACCTAGCCACCCGGCGAAGCGCCACCCCGATGAACCCAGCCCCAGATCGGTTTGACGATGGATCTAGACCACATGCTACAGCTCAAGAGCTATTGTTTCAAAAAGAGAGAGAGAGAGACTCAAGAGCTAAAGTTTAGCCCATAGGATCAAAAAAGTCTATATGTTGGGCTGTTGGTATTTTGCAGCTGCAGCTGTGAGACAGCTACAGTGAACAACAGTGACAAGTACAGCCACTGCCGCTGAAAAAAATATGGAGCCAACTAGCTAAGGTAGCAATAGCATGTTTATCCGATGTCACACATCAAAATATCATAAAATTGCCTAAAACATTGTACATAAAATAACTACTATTCCAAATTATAACATATTTTTGGTTTACCTAGATATATAGCTTTTGCTATACACGTACATAGCAAAGCTATATCAGCCTGTTCGAGAAGCCGTATCATATCGTGGATTATTTACTGCTGATTGATTTGATGTAAGAGAAAAACACTGTTCCCGACTGAAAATTTACGATCGTTTACGAGCAAACGAACAGGCTTTATCTATGAAAAGCCAAACGTATTATAATTTGAAATGAAGGGAGAAGTTTAGAAGCTACTCCATGCAGGTTGACAAGACTAAACACAACTGCAAAACCGTGGTGAAAGTTTAGTATTTGAATCTTTAACCCTGTGGTTAAAAATTTCGGTCTAACTATTGTTCAGATGTTACCAACAGAGATTATTGTACTAACAATTCTCCAAGCTAGAATTCAGTACTGTAATCAGCTTTCAGTGCCTTTTTATCTTGTTCTACATGAGCTTAACTGTTACTCTTCCTAACCCACAATATACAGGTAAAGTCGATGTGTAACCCAATAAGAATTAGAATGTGTTCCTTTCATATGACACAATATAATACATGTACAATCACTATATCTACTTCCGCGTCGGCTTCAATCCTCTGAATGGCATGTTACAATTTCACGAGGCCCCCAGAATCTCGACTGCAAGATACCTTCCGTTTGTTTACTCTTGCCAAGTTCTCTGAAACCGCCCTAGTCAAATTTTGATCCTCAAAACTTGCATCAAGATTGAACCTGAGAGAAATGTCCATGACACTGATTAGAAGCTAGAGAGACTACCTAAAGTCTTTAGGTTATATCATAAGCAACAGTTCGCAAAACATAATAACGATCCAGTGTCAATTCAACAGTCAGTGAATGGGAATGTAAGAACGGGCATCAGTGGACGTACTTGGGATCAAGGGTTATTCTCTGAATTTCTCTAACAGCAGAACTTGCTGCATATAAGGAGATCTTTTTTACCTGTATCGTTAATGGAAAAAGGTTTTCATTTTCGTTCTCAATAATTAGTATATATTAAGTTACTGTTCGCAAGACCACAACATACCTCAAGCATCTTCAATTTTGCAAGATGACCATTTGGCAAGCTACGGATCTCTTGGGCCAGCCGGACTGACTCTGGCAAACTCTCCGGTGACAAAAAATTGAGAGCCAATTGAACCGTGGACTGATCATGTCAATATAACAGAAAACAAATGTAAACTATATCCGCAAAAAAAGTATTCAATTATTCAATCAATCACAGAAGCATAGAAGATAATATCATTTTCAACAAATTAAAGCATAACAACCACATTCAGTATAGATAGTACATAACTAGTTCAAATTATCACAGAAGTAATAAAGAAGATAATATCAGAGATAGAGGAACAAAATTCTTCAGAGCAGCTAAAATTCTACTCCAAGTAAGCACAACAAATAAGAACAAGCAAGTCAAATTCAACACGTAGTGAGAGATGAGCTCACATGAACCACTGCAGCAGTTGGAAACAGAAACTTAGTCTGACTGAAAACACAGTTTCAACATGATTCCGTGCAGTAACCTCTCTTGCTTATTTCTGAGCACTGCTGCTACTAGTGCTTCTTTCTTTTTTCCAAGCTCTCTAGTATGTTCGCATGTAAATCGCTATATTCATAGCCTAAATTCAAAAGAAAAAATATATAAAAGTCCTACCATTTCATTATGTTCTAGAGTAACTACCATACGGGCATAAGAATATGCAAATTCAAGAAACATTTTAGAAAAGCTTTGCTCATTGAAAATGATGGTCTGAGCATACAAGCAGTGTGCTAACACAAGTAATTCATGGAACCCCAAGGTCATTTTATCCCTAATAGTTAAGGTTGAACATTCAGACACCACTTCTCACAAAAATAAGAACAGCAAGTTTGAGCACGACAAAGGGTAAATATGAGGACGAGATGCATCACCTGGAGGTTTTTCAATTGGAAAGGACAGCCAGCTGGAATGAAAACAGCCTCACCAATATGTTGGTGGAATGTGTAGGGTTCAATTCCTGCAAGAACATCTCAATGAAACTTGCAGAAGTAAATGATGTGATGGGTCTCAATAACAAAAGTTAACTCATAAGGCTACTCCTAGTGTGTAACATCATGTACATTAATTAGGATCTACAATATGATTTTTTTTCTGACTTGGCAGTAAATTAATGAGAGGAAAATTATATCTACATCACAATACTGCTTGGGTTATTGAGACATTTGAAAATATAGTGCAATCATCTGCTGAGAAATTTGAAAATATGCCACTCCAAATTTTACAACTGAACAATGTGCCCCCGTAACCTTTGGTTTCAACAATTTTCCACGGTAAACTTCGGCTTCAACAATTTGCCACTAAAAATGACATGGTCAGAATCAGCCTATGTAAAATGACCCATACACCCATGTGGTTTCTTAGCCAGTGGCAATGACCAGCATCAGCGCAGCGACGACGATGGCAGCTGTGGCATGCGGCTCACTGTGGAGGAAAAGACAGGCAGAGGGAAGAACAGAGAGCAACCTGCAATGCTATGGGTTACCGGCCATGGATGAGAGGAATTGAAGCTTGGCTCGCCAGAGATGACGAAGCAAATGTAGCAGAGTATCTGGCTCCCATGACCAAAGTTGGGGAAGGCGCAACACCGAAGATTGGTTGGCGTGGAGACAGTGGGATCCACTGTGGAAATGGCCAAGGAGGTCACTGTTGCTCTCCTTGACCAGTAAGAGCTGCTGGCTAGAGACAAACGCAGCCTCAGGAATGGTGGCCCAGTTGAGAGGGAGCCAAGTCAGGTGTTTCAGTCAGACAGCAGGGGGCACAAGAGACACATGGAGTGACCATGTAAAAGAAACTCAAAACATGGAAACTTATTGAAGCCTAAAGTTGGGAGTGGCAAATTGTCAAATTTCTCTCATCTTGCTGTAGTTTGCAAAGCATATCGTAGGCTCAATTAGAGAAGATGAAGTACTACATGAAATAAGATGCAATGGTGCAAACAGCAGTCAAACATTTGGAAGTGAAAAATAGTAATCCTCTCTCTGGAACTTAGTACTTACCATATTGATCCTTCAACATCTTCTTATGATAATCGTTAAGGTGCATGGTTTGATCATAAATCGGATACTTAGCCTGCATCAAAAGTATAGTAACATGAAACACCTTTGAGAATTTATTTTTAAGACTATAATTTGACATAGGGAAGGAGTCATTACAGAAGATACTGCTTGACATCTAGCTGCAAATTCTTCCCGATGAACAGCTAGATATTCATTAAGCTTTGGAAAATCCTGCCTGCGGAATACATCCCAGACAGCACCAGCCTGGGATCCTTCTGAACTATTAGTTTTTGGCTCCTCAACGTGTGAAATTGAATGTTTGTGCGCTTGCTCCCCCATATCCAGATTCAAATTTTGAACAGGAGTGTGAGCATTTGCATGCACACTAGTTCCATTAGCAATCCTTTCAGATACATCAGACTGTACCCTCTTGGGACATTGGTAATGCACTTCAGTTGCATGCATTAACATGTGAACCTACAAGAGGAAACAGATAGCATTAGCCATCTGATGTTTTTAACTTTTGTCATTAATAATACTCAAGTTACTCAGCCGACCTTCATGAAAAACAAATGCTCAAATCTAACAAGAACTTTCAAATGAAAACTGAGTAAGACCAAACTTACCACATCGCTCATGTTAATCATTAGATTTGTCACTGAATCACCTTTACCAAGTTCTTGGTGACTTCCATATGCAATTAGCAGCTTCATCCCTACTTCAGGCTGTAAGGCATCTGGGGGTAACTTGGCAGCAAGGTTTAGGAGACCCCATCTAGGATGAATAAAATCAACAAGAGGAAAGTTCACAATAAATTCTGGCCTTTGGCACAACAGAAACGCCTCCAAGACACTGGGTCGGGGCCACTCTTTCAATTTCAGCATCAACATGTGGCCATCTCCTCCTTTGCTGCCATCTGAGTAGCCTTTGATAAACTGTTTGAGCTTGATATCTACCTGAGCAGATGAAACAAGATAGGATATATCATTTTGAAGGTAGCGGTACAACAAATATTTTCTACATACAGAAGCTTGGAATTCTTTACTTCCACAATTTTTTCACTTCTCCAAAATACCACTTGTAGTACAAGTAGTGGATGGTCAAAAACTCAAAATAAGTTAGCAAAGGTGGTATTACACAATGATCATGTATTCTTTTTAGCAAAATATACTTCTAAGATCTAACAGTGGTGTGTTAAACTAAATGAGACCAGTAATAGCAGTGTAACTAATAGCATGGAACCTGGGAATCCCTAAGAAAAAGTCACAACAATTTCCAACAGACAGCAATGTTTTATTCAGAAATATAAAGCAGCAACTAGCACTTCTTTATCACCTCTGATTGGTTCGAGCAGTCCACAGCCTTGACTATGACATCTTCATCCATTTCTTCATCCATGATCTCCTGGATACCTCTCCAAATACTCAAGGGATCCCAGCTTGATGATAGAGAAGGCTCAAATGCTTTCCTGATAATAATAGGCTCCGCATTTATCCAATGCTTACGAAAGTGAATGATGCCTTCGTATTTTAGGTCCTCCAATACAGGAGAGTACACACAATTCCTACCAATCCCATCACTGTTTGAGCATTTTGAGAGACCGAGGTTTCGCTGACCAGTAAACTCCAATCTTTTGCCATCACTGCAAGACAAACATCCATCCTCCAAATCATGTACTTTGCAACCATTGACCATTTCTTCAGAACTTTTTACAAGTTTAGCAATCCAATTTATTTTGAATATCCGCCTTAATACCAACTTTGAGGAGCCACAACCACCAGCCTCGTGAGGTCCACAAGTGATGCTGCCATCATTGTTGACTCTCCATGTAGGGAATAAAGATCTAATGTCAATATTATTTATATCTATTGGCCAAGATAATGACTTGTCATTTACACTCTCTGCAGAGGGTTCCAATCTTGCTCTTTTATTAAAAGAATCTCTACCTTTATCTTCAACATGGCCTTCAGTATATTCTCCTCGTGCAACATTGGCCCGAGAATGACGTATATCACGACAGCAATCAAGGCATAAGTCATACAAGCATCTTGGGCAGTATCGGTGATAATCAAACACTGGCACTTTGCAAAAGTCACTGCAAATAATGAAAAGTTTTAAGGCTCCATTATAGCCTAATTTATCTAGTTAGAATGAGAAAAAGGTTCCAACGATGAAGAAAGAAGAAACAGATAAAATGGCACAAAGCCATACCAGCACATCTGCTCATCAGAAGTTATCTTTGCTCTGAGGATATCTGTCTTTGGTCCTATCAATAATAGCATCAGAATGAATGCTAAATTTCAGATGAGAAAAAGCACAATAGAAGATAAGAGGGGAAGTGGAGCACCAGAAGATCTTGTTTCAACACCTATTTCAAAGCATTGGTCAGAATAAATCCCCTTCAGTACTGGAAGAACATAAACCAAGAGGCAATGAAGATATCTCAACTTATCAACAACCGATATTTCTTGCACCCTAGCCTTTAAAAGATTAAAAAAAATGTTAGATTTTGGACAAGTACCACTTAAACTCAAACATATGGATAATTAATGGAAGAAAACTAATAGAGATTGCATACCTTTATTAAGTTGTCTCCTTGTGAGCAAACTTTGCAATTACAAATGCCACGGCATGCTGGACAAACATTTCGAACATCATCAATCGGAATGTCAGAGTACCTGCATTGTGTTTGTGTTCACCTTAGTCCAAACAATAAAAGGCAAAGAGTCTCCAAAATATAGCAGGACAACTAGCTTGTAAAAAGAAAAAGGGCGTACCCAATGCAGAGAGCTCCCGCTCTGTGCGGGGTCTGGGGAAGGGTGTCAGTGGCAAGCCTTACCCTCGCCTGTGCAATGCGAGGAGACCGTGACTCGAACCCGGGACCTTCCGGTCACAGGCGGTAAGACTCTACCGCTTGCACCAGGCCCGCCCTTCAACGACTAGCTTGTATTGCAGTATATTTTAGAAGTATCAGAAAAGAGTTTTTTTTTCCCAACAGTTTTAGTCATGCCTTCTCATGATCAATCTAAACTGTCTAAAGTTACTACGAAATAATCAGGAAAAAAACATCAACAAGGAACCATACAAAAGCCTTGCAATTTTGCACCACAAGGCCATATTCAACTCTAAGTTATAAACAAAAGAAGTTCTTGTGTTCATCCTGGTTCTGTTTCCGTCCAAACAACATACAACTCTATGACTCAAAAGTCATACTACTTTATGAGAAGATGATGGCTGTTGCACCTGAAGAAGTGAGTTGTTGCTTTTGCATCTGCCGATTTGGAATGAGGTAACAGCAAATTTTGCCTTTAAGAGGCCAACCAGAGGCTATGCTACTGAAATGAATAAGACAATTAGTAGTCAAATATTCTTGCATTCTGACCATGCATTGCAATAAGAATGCCCCAAAACAGTTCATGTTGTTTGGAACTTTCATACGAAGGTGGTTTGGGCAAAACCCAACAGTAATTATCAATTTGACAAGGAAAAACTTATTTCAGTATGGACATACAGATCAGGTGCACATCTAGCGGACACTGTTGCACTAACAAAAATATAAAATGGCCAAGCCCAAAGCCTAAGGGACTTTCTAATATGCATTAGTTCACTGTGAGCTCTAATCTGTAATTGCTTCTCTGATACACCCTGGCCCAACATACCATCTGGAGATGCAGCCGGCACAGTACCCTCTCCTGTCACAGCTGGTACACCAAATGACACCCCCAGCCTTCCGGCACTGGTGGCAACTCCTTATCCCTGCAGCGCCGCCGCCAGGCAACCATACTGGGCCTCTGCCGACCAGCCCCTGCAACCATCGGCGCGCAATCAACGCAAGCTCAGTAGCACAGGAACCCAATTGAGCACGTGGCCATAGGACGAAGGCAGTGCGCCCAGCTACGGACGGCAGGCAGGCGAACTCACCGCCGCGGTGCTCGCACCAGCCGCATTGCCCCGGGGCAGCCCTTCGTAGGCGGTCCCCCTCCGCGCGGGCGCCGGCACCGGTTCAGCCACGTACACCGCCTCCCCGGCGACCCTGCCGTAGAGGGGCCTCGCGACCGCCATGGGCGGGTCCTCGCCGGCGGCGCGGAGGCGAGCGGAGGAGGAGGAGGAGGAGAACGGGAAGGCGGGCGCGGGGGAGGAGGCTGAGGAGCGGCGGAGTGAGGCGCGGAGCGCGGAGGAGGCGGAGCGCTTCTTGGCCTGGACGTAGTGCTTCTCGCAGACGGTCTTGTCGGGCATGGAGGGCGCGCTGCATCGCCACTGCTTGCCGTCGGAGCGCTTGCAGCGGAGGTCCTCCGTCACGGCCGCCATCCCCGCCGCCGCCGCCGCGCCGGGTCACCGCGGCGGAGGGGATCTAGGGTTTGGGGGGGTTCGGAAAGCGGGGAGGAGGGGGCAGAGCGAATAACGGTGGCGGTGGTGGTGGTGGTCGGGTTTAAGTGGTGGTTGGGCTTGCTCCTTGGTGGTCTGTAATTTGGGGAGGGAGCCGTGTGTGCGGCGCTGGTGCAGGTGCAGCAGGGGTGGGCTGCGCGCCTGCGCTGCAAGTCTCCATCCATCTCCCCTCCCCGAGACCCTCCACGGCTCCATCTCTCTCCTCTTCCTGCCGTGCAGTGCGTGCTTGTGCTGCAGTGTGATGTGCGGCTGCTAGCTAAGCTAGCCGAGCACGAGCAGCAGTGCTGACTGCGGCGTAACTTCCCTTTCAAGTTGGGTGGTGCTGGTGTGGCGCCTGTATTGCGTGAGCGCTGCCTCCTGCAGCTCCGCAAATGCAGACTGTAGCACTGCACAGCACAGGGACCAGGAGGAGGGCGTGCGTGAGCACCGAGCAGAGGGGGAGAGCGAGGGAGGGGGAAGGGAAAGCCAACGTGCGATCGGCGGGAAGTTACCGGCGTGTCCATGGTGATGCCGTGTGGGTGCCGCAGAGGAGGAAGGGTGGTTTGGGGAATTGGGAAGGCGCCCTAGTTGCAGCATGATGAGGCGGGACCCGCGGGGGAGACGAGGCGATAGCAGCCGGTATTGCTTTGCTGCAAGACAGGCGGCATCTGGGTCTCGCGACTTTTGGGTTTGTGGGCAGCGTGTTGACTGCTGACTTGGTGGTGAGAGACAAAAGGGAAGAGAGGCAGGAAGAAATGGCATCTGATGATGACTGATGAGCGCGCGCGGCAGATGCAGACACCAGACAGGGTCCGGACTCCGGCACTCCGGGCGCTTGGCACCCGGTCCGGTTCACCATTCAAGGCTTGTTTTGGAACATAGGAGAGAAAAGGAAGAAAATATAGGAATACGAAATAAGTCTACGTAAGAGGACCGAAAAACATAGGAATTTTATAAGAATAGTTGTTTGGAACACAGGAATATAAGACACATGGTTATTCCTCCATTCCAGTGAATAAGGACTTGCTCATCTCTCCCTTCATATATAGAAAAAAATTTCAAGAGCTTGGAGTGGATGTTTTATTTCCTCCACTTCATGAAGGAAAGCAAGTCTTTTCATAGGAAATGAAAACTTCATTCCTTCATTCCAAATACCACGTGATGTAAGCAAAACATAGGAATTTGATTCCTTTAAAATTCCTATAGAATTCCTCCAATTCAAACAAGCCCTGAACGAAAAAAAAAAAAGACAGCTTTACTGGTTCAAGATGCAATTGTGCTATTGCGAACCAGTGGAACAAGCAAAATCTTTCTTCAAACCAGTGATCAATCCGAAGTTTGGACATTAGTTTGGAACTTTGGGCAATAGGCACGGTGACGCCACCACCCTGAGCGCTAGAGAGAGCTGAGCCCAGAAAAAACAACCTCCACTTTTGTTTTCCTAGGGCGAGGCCCTCAGCTGCTTTAAGCAGCGTGCGGCCTAGCTAGGCCTAGGAGACGTCCAGGCAAACAAACACGGTGTGTTGCGGCTGATAAGCCATGTTCCGACCCCCGTCCAAGCAAACAAACACACCCTTATTGATGTCACTAGTGTTAAAAGAACATGGTCAGGCCAGTCTCAATGATATTTACATTGGAGTTTCATTATCAACAAATAAGGTACCATGCATGTAGACAAATATGATGATATAGCAGGGTATTTATGATGAAGGAGAAGAAACTCGCTCTATCCTGATGAAATGAGGACCACCCAATTACCCATGTCTTGGAAACAGAGTGACAATGCACTCATGGAGCTTCATTTCATCCTCATGTGGGTGAGGTGATCCCATCCGTCCCTCTGCCACATCAGTCAACTCCGGCCAACCTCCAATTCCTACCGCACACACCATAGGACAAAATCGCAACACCACAGAACATGTCTAGGTGGCCTTGTCGATCCTAGGACAACCTCGTTGTTCCCTTACCTGACAGGGAGGTGTCCAGGAGGCGAAGTGCTAGCGTCGAATCGGCTTAACCAGCTTGCTGGTCGGTCTTGCTGATTACTGCGTTCTTTGTTGCGATCTCGGATGTGCTTGCTTTTGCTAATGTGTGACCCGATCTTACGCCAACGCTTACCTGACTTTGTTCAAGAAAACGACGCTCAACCTATTCCACCTGTTTGCATCATTATGTAATCGATAGTGTAGCCTTTGTCAAAACCAGATACTTATGCATATACGTTTTGAGGATTCTAGAAAAAAAACAATCGTTGAAAACTTAAACACGTTCAAAATGTTTTTTTTTCGTGTTTTCATCGCAACACGATGAATTGGCATGATCCAAACATTGAAAAAGAACTCCGACTCAACTAGATTGGCCTACAATATAGCACCACGTTGGTGAAAAGGACATAACGAGCCGAGTGCATGCACACTAGAGTGGCGTTTTCTAAAAACCGGCTTAGGAAAGGACCCAAAGTCGAAGCAACATATCGAGTGTTTTCTATAATTTCAAGTTATAAATATAAATAAATATACACGATTGGCTGATGATTTTATCTCATAGGAGAGATCTCACGAACACTTTTTACGTACGGTAAAAATGAGTTACACTAGTGATGTTTTTTTTTAATTCTGGAGGGGGCTTGCGTCCCTAAAGTGAAATTTATTAACCGAAGGAAAAGAACAGAAGTACAGGCTTACAACACTTAGAGACTTGAAAAAACAGAAAAAAAATCTACTAGCGGTAAAAAAAAAATCTGCTAGTTCAAACCAATTTTCACTGACAATAACTTCACATGAACCGTTCAGGTATATCGATTTTAACTAGTGATGATTTTATGTGCCAGTGTGAAAAGGAACATGGAAACAGTACACTTCTAGCAGAATTTTTTTGGCATGTGCCCTCAAGCGCATTCAACGACGCGCGCGTGTGAGGACACATGCCTTTAGGGGCTATTGACGGTAGTTAACAACTATTATAAACTGTTAATATAACTTGTAGAAGGACATGGACATGATCATCAACATAGGTTTAGAGGTTTAAACTAACAAATTACACAAGTTTTGGTAAATATGTGTTTTCAGCAAGGTTTATTTAGAAAACCATCGAGGTAGATCCAAATGTCAGAATTAATCGCTCTTATCCGCAACGAAAACAACCCAGAAGATTTCAGAAGACTCCAGTGGCAAACCACCGAAGCGGAGGGCAGGTGGCTGCGAGCCCCACCTGCAAGGCGGCCGCCCCCTGGGCCCATCTGTCAGCCTCCGCATTGCAACGTCGGTTCACCGCTTTAGGATTTACATCTACGCCGTTCTTTCAAGTCGGTTTGATCTGAGGGCTCAGGATTGACGCTCTCCCCTATATATACCAGCCCCTGCCACCCCCAGGGCATCATTGATCATAAGTCATTCAGTTAAGAAGGCAGAAACCATAATCATTCTCAGAGCTCCACCATATTTTAGGGCATAGCTAGCTAGGCTAGATCTAGAGGGAGGCAGCTTCGCTTGGATTCCTAATTTTGTCAAGAGCGTGGCTTGGTATAGCCCCTTGTATCCTCTTTTGTATCTTTCATTATTCATATGTTTGCTACAATTGATTCGACATTGTTCTTAATATTATTTATGTTTCCGGTTATCATGTTTATCGTCTACTTTGATTATATGCTTAGTATACCTAGATTATCATCATGTTCAAGCATAAGTTCGTATAGCGCTCGCTCTAATGTACATGGGTGAGTGGTCGACATTGTGTAAGCGTGGTGTTTATACGTTGTTTACCTGTGGATGCACCCTATATTTCGGGTTATCTAGTAGATCGCGGATGTGACACTCCCGTTGAGTCGTTTGTAGTCCACTCCTGGAATATAGGACAAGTAGGATCTAGTTACGAAGGAAGACAAGCTCTGTTCTTAATCTTATTTAGTAATATCCCTTATGTGTAGATATGAAGTTGATCTTAGCCATTACTACTAAGTGTAATTGCACTAATCAACGTATGCTTTGACTTGTAATTGTGAATGACTTAGGAATTATTCCTCTAATTTCTATTTAGCAATGCTAATACTATAGAAATGAGTACTCTGAGTGATCAATGTTCAGTTATCATTTACCATTCATATATTTTTATCTCTTGACTTACCCCTATTATGAGTAGAGTAATGATTATGGTTTATTTCTCCATCAAAAGTATAAGTTATCAATATATTCCATTTGCCCATCCTTCCCTGAGGTAAAAATATAAATAACGATGTCTGTAATACTCCCGGGTGAAATGCTATAATGATAAATTATCTGTGCGCTTGCAGATCCCTTTATTTATATATTCTTTCTAGTCACATAAAATACTAAAGTACTTCTTAGCATTATTCTAGTAGTGATACTAGGTAGTATCAACAAGCAGTTCTAGCATCATATCTAGAGATGACAACTTAGCAAAAGTGATGTTAAGAAATGTCAATAACATTAGGTGGCTACTTAAACAAGTGACAAGTTAATAATTATCAACAAGCATTTTTGGCGCCGTTATCGGAGACTAGATTTAAAACTCTATTCTTAGTAGCGACGCTAAGAAATGTCAACAGGGGCAAAGAAAACTTTCCCTTGGCCGGCCGGCCTCCACCACGAGCTCAGATCTATAGAACCCATGCGCTCGCGCTTGCTCACCGTGGTTGTCTAGAAGCCCCACTCTAGCCGGCCAATTCCAATTTCCATGTCGCTCGTCGATGCATACGTTTCATCTTGGTCGGCTAGAGTCGAGCGATGTGCCGCTCATTCGTACCCTCTCGCGTCACAGCTAGTTGCCCTCCTGCTTCCATGGTCGGCCAGAGCCGCGCATCGCTGACTGCTCATGAGCTCATGCCACTACCATAGCCAGCCACTGTTGTGCTGCTCGGTCGCCCGCCTACCATTGCCAGTTAGGGTTGAGCACCGCATGTGTGCTCGTAATACCGTTCACCTAGC